GGGTTGAGCCAGAGCTCAACCCCCGCAAGCACAACTAGGTGAGAACACACACACACATATTGCTATCCTCCATATCGTCGATAAGAACATTACATTCACTTGGATCACAGGAGCCTTGAACCCCAGACCACACAAGCAGCAGCCTGCAGCTGGCCCCACCCAGCCACCATCTCCTACAATTAAGGAGGATTCCTTAACTGCCTGTGACACCTAACTGCTCTCCAACTGACACCTTAGCCTGCAGGTGTTAGGTGGTGCAGGTCGTGGCCAGTACTCACGACACAGGGGTTAATATATGAGCCGGGTGTTGATCACCCAACACCTCCATGCCAGAGTAGCACCCCAGGGAGGGTGTAAAGTCTCAGTTGGGCAGCAGGGAGGTGTCCACACCATCAATAACAGGAGCGGGGCTGAACATATGGTGACCAATCATCACATCAGAAAGTGAAGAGACGACCAGGTTTCGGTCCGTCCTGGACCATTCTCAAGTCTACCTGTCAATATCTGTCTTGTGGCCTCCACGGGGACAGGAAGCCACCTTGTGTGTGTTACACTGTGGCTGGTTGAGCGTGACGCTGGCACTCTGGAATATGCCACTGGCACTGTCCTCACCCCCCCCCCTCAAGCTTCCTTCATCTTTCCAATCTCTGATGACTGTCTGGAGGAACACGCTCCCAGAGCACTTAGCCTGCACCCGGGAGACACCACCCTGGCCATGTACACCTTGACACTCCCCCTCCCCTTACTCCCCCTTCTCTCTCTCTCTCTCTCTCTCTCTCTCTCTCTCTCTCTCTCTCTCTCTCTCTCTCTCTCTCTCTCTCTCTCTCTCTCTCTCTCTCTCTCTCTCTCTCTCTCTCCCTCTCTCTCTCCCTCCCTCCCTCTCTCTCTCCCTCTCTCCCTCTCTCTCTCTCTACATCATCTCTATTCATTCCCATTTTCTTCCTATTCTCTCTCCCCTTCACCACCCTACTTGATGTTTTTCCATAACCCTTATCCTCCTACCAGAGTCCCCCCCCCTTCATCCCCTCCCCCATGACCCCCCCTCCCTCCCTGGGTCCCCAAGAGTCCCCCTCCCTCTCCTACCTTCCCCCTCCCCCCTCCCCTCCCTCAATATCTTGAGTGACATCTCATCAAAGATGCTTAAGTTATTAAGTTCTCAGTCACCACTCTGGATCCTGCGACCCCATGCTAACTGGAAGCCTCAGACCCCATGCTAACTGGAAGCCTCAGACCCCCATGCTAACTGGAAGCCTCAGACCCCCATGTTAACTGGAAGCCTCAGACCCCCATGTTAACTGGAAGCCTCAGACCCCCATGCTAACTGGAAGCCTCAGACCCCCATGCTAACTGGAAGCCTCAGACCCCCATGCTAACTGGAAGCCTCAGACCCCCATGCTAACTGGAAGCCTCAGACCCCCATGCTAACTGGAAGCCTCAGACCCCCATGCTAACTGGAAGCCTCAGACCCCCATGCTAACTGGAAGCCTCAGACCCCCATGCTAACTGGAAGCCTCAGACCCCCATGCTAACTGGAAGCCTCAGACCCCCATGCTAACTGGAAGCCTCAGACCCCCATGCTGACTGGAAGCCTCAGACCCCCATGCTAACTGGAAGCCTCAGACCCCCATGCTAACTGGAAGCCTCCGAGACCATGCTAACTGGAAGCCTCATGTCTCACTAATTATGAAGCCCATCGCCCTGGGATCTAGTTCTTGGAGAAAGAAAAAAAAGTTGGAAATTGAATCGAGGCTAATTAGCAAGCCACCAGGGAACTTTCAATTTTAATTTCTTGATTAATTGAACTTTTCTGCTTCTCCAGATGACAAGAGTAGTGAGGAAGGTGGTGGGAGGGTGAGGAGATAAACCCGGAGCTGTGTGATGGTGGTGTTGTGTGGCTCTTGGTGCTCTGGAGCAGGAGGAGGAGAGTAGTGGTGTGGTCACACACACACACACACACACACACACACACACACACACACACACACACACACACACACACACACACACACACACACACAAATGGAATGCATTAGGCAGTGATGTGGTGGAGGCTGACTCCATACACAGTTTCAAGTGTAGATATGATAGAGCCCAGTAGGCTCAGGAACCTGTACACCTGTTGATTGACAGTTGAGAGGCGGGACCAAAGAGCCAGAGCTCAACCCCCGCAAGCATAATAAGGTGAGTATACACACACACACACACACACAGTGAGATATTTCAGAAAGAAGTGACTGAAAGAAGTGCGCAGAGTTTCTTTCACTTGATGCCACTGTTCACCTAGTGATGCCCCCAGGGTGTAGCCAGCTGTGTTTCCCTGGGCATGTGTGAGACAGAGAGAATATATGTAGAAGATATGATAAAAATAAATATGTCGGGCAGAATAGTAAATTAGACAACCAACGATTAGAAAGGCGGGGTCCAAGAGCTATCATCACGATTCTGCACAAATAGTGAATTCAAATATTAAATACACTATATTTCAAATGTGCAAGGGAGTACCTGAAGGGCAGAAGACAGAGAGTCAGAGTGTGGGACGTCATCTCAGGCTGGGGGGATGTAGCAAGTGGGGTCCCACAAGGCTCGGTCTTGGCACCACTGCTGTTCTCAGTCTCTTGGAGTTATCTACCAAAGGCAGTGACGTCATTGTTGCCATATTCGAGTTCCGGTCTTGTTCTCACTCTCATGAGAGTGAGAACACTCTACCCACCATGAGAGTGAGAACACTCTACCCACCATGAGAGTGAGAACACTCTACCCACCATGAGAGTGAGAACACTACCCACCATGAGAGTGAGAACACTACCCACCATGAGAGTGAGAACACTCTACCCACCATGAGAGTGAGAACACTCTACCCACCATGAGAGTGAGAACACTCTACCTACCATGAGAGTGAGAACACTCTACCCACCATGAGAGTGAGAACACTCTACCCACCATGAGAGTGAGAACACTCTACCCACCATGAGAGTGAGAACACTCTACCCACCATGAGAGTGAGAACACTCTACCCACCATGAGAGTGAGAGCACTCTACCCACCATGAGAGTGAGAACACACTACCCACCATGAGAGTGAGAACACTCTACCCATCATGAGAGTGAGAACACTCTACCCACCATGAGAGTGAGAACACTCTACCCACCATGAGAGTGAGAACACACTACCCACGATGAGAGTGAGATCTACCCAAGATCTACCTCCACTTGACTACTGGAGAGCAAGATAAGCTTGCTCCAGAGTACTGGTAGCCTGGAGCCATATCTCCCTCGTTCCTATATGCCAGGAGCTGTCTTCACTATCCCGCTGGAAGACAACCTTCAAACAACCCACATTGGAATCACACATTAACATGTACCTGGGCGCACCAAATGTGCGGGTTCGAGCCCTCCTCGTGGCTCATATACTGATTTTCTCGAACCTCAAACAAGTTTCAAAGTTGAAGGCTACCCCGGGGGACGTGGCCCGCGGTATCCCATACATTAGTGGGCGAGCCAGAGGCTTGGGGACCCCGCACGACATAAAGACAGGCTATTTAACACAAGGGACACACGCACAAGGGGACACAGGTGGAAACTGAGTGCCCAAATGAGCCACAGAGTGGCTCATTCCTATGAGCCATGAGAGATATTCCTAGGCGGGAAAAAAAGCTACCAAAAATTCCCTACATGGAGGAAGACACGCAAACCTCTGATAAGAACGGGACATTTCACAGGGAAACTTAATGTAAACATTACCAATTTTGAACTCGGGAGAGATTTCTCCGCAAGACGAAGAGCTTTCCTAACCTTCCCTCCATCCTCCCCGCCCCCTCCCTCCTCTTCCCTCCATCCTCCCCCCCTCCCTTCCTCCTCTTCCCTCCATCCTCCCTCACCCCCCCTTCCTCACTATTTCCTCCGTCCGTTCCTTCTCATCACCAACAGCAGTTTTACCAATAACAAGCTGATGAATACGAGACCATCCACTCCTCAGACCTGGCCAAAATCCACGCTCCACGGCCGCCTCAAAGGGATTTTTTTCAATAGATAAATTGGTTTCCGTCAGATCTGGAATCCGGTTCTTATGAAGTAAATCCCACAGGCTGTTGCGTCGTAATGAGACGCTCCGGAGGGGGGGGAGCTGGGGGGGGGGTGGGGGGGGGAGGAGGCGGGACAAAGGGACAGGACGTATGAGGGAGAGAACGAGAGGTAAAGTGAGAGAAGAGGAAAGGAGGAGTGAGGAGACTTTCCTCAACTAAGGAGAGCTTATTCTTAGGAAGAGAAAGGGAGATGAAAGTAATATAAGAAGATAGAATGAACAAGTACTGAGACAATGAGAGTAACAATCCGCCCCCCTTGCAAGGAAGGGGGGGGATACAGGGGGGGTACAGGCTATGGTCAACAGAAGGAACCAGCCAATCAGTTGTCCTCTCTCAAGGAACAATATTCTAGACTAATACCCCACAAAGAACGCCTCATTCCTAGCACTATGCCACCAGGATGAAGATGTTGACACAGTCATCATGGGAGAACACATACCTTCGCGAGGTGGGACACGAACAAGGGGACACAGGTGGAAACGTAGTACCCACATGAGCCACAGAGACGTTAGAAAGAACTTTTTCAGTGTCAGAGTAATTAGTAAATGGAATACATTAGGCAGTGATGTGGTGGAGGTTGACTCCATACACAGTTTTAAATGTAGATATGATAGAGCCCAGTAGGCTCAGGAACCTGTACACCAGTTGATTGACGGTTGAAAGGCGGGACCAAAGAGCCAAAGCTCAACCCCCGCAAGAACAATTAGGTGAGTATAATTAGGTGAGTACGTAAAGTGGAGTATAACAGTCTTCCGATCAACATTCCCACAGAGCTGCAGCCCAGGAAGACAATAGTCTTGAAGTGACTCGATGAAGCACTTAATAACAATCCTCTCAAACTATTAGAGAAGACATAGAAGGAAGAAGTGGCTGGGCCAAGGTAGAAGAAGTAATTATCAAGTCGGGATCGACAACCGTGATGAAAGTAAAGTTTAAAGAAATTTCCTTGGCAGAAAAAGCCGTCAGCCAAGGTATCCTCCGCCTCTACTACCACCTGAGACCAGCCAATTACAACATAGAACAAGAAGAACACTTCAACATAACCCCATGTTGGACATGCTACAAGTACGACCACACAGCCGCAGTCTGCCAACATAGGGATATCAAAGTATGTTCTCAATGTGGCCAGCCGAGACACATGTTCAGGGAGTACACAGATAAAACAAACCCCAAATGTCTCACTTGTGGTGATTGATGCCAGCGTCAATCACCACAAGTGAGACATCAATCTCACTGGCATCAATCAATGGCATCAGTCTGGCATCAATCCATCAATCTCTAACACCAAGAAAACTATCCTGAAACAAAAAAGGGACGAAGCTGCAGCAAAAAAGATAGCAATGGCCACCAATACCTAGACAGGTTTCGCTGCCACAAATACTTAAATAAATAAGGTATTACACAACCCAGCAAACACTACATTACAGATAACTGGCGACCTACCAACAAAGATTCTGAGCAGTATGATAACTGCCCACCTAGATAACTTACCAAAGTCAGGGTCACTCGGATCCGCGGTTAGAGAAAGCTACAGGAAGAATGGTCTCCCAGAAATGGTCTTCCCAGACATTGCTTCCTCCCTTAACATCTGGGTACAAGTGACAGGATGAACAACCCAGCGGGTTTTCTTCCTATTGGGGAGTGTTGTATGATGTAAGCCCCGGTGGCCAGCACGTCAGCACTCCCTATCCTGGTACCAGGTCCCAACAAGAGCCAGGACCCACAACTGCAGAAGCCCTCAGTGAGTCAGAGGAAGTTGAAACAACATAACCAGCCACCACTAATGACCCCCAAGGGGGGGGGGGAGGCTACAAACATACATGCACATCACGAGACACAACAACTAGAGAATACCGATGAGGTAACTGAGACAGAGCAGGGAAAGTGTTGGGCATCAAGGCTCACCACACACACACACACACACACACACACACACACACACACACACACACACACACACACACACACACACACACACACACACACATTGATTGTGTGCATTGGAACTACCTTTCAGTGCCAGAGTAGTTAACAGGTGGAATGCATTAGGCAGTGATGTGGTGGAGGCTGACTCCATACACAGTTTCAAATGTAGATATGATGGAGCCCAGTAGGCTCAGGAACCTGTACACCTGTTGATTGACAGTTGAGAGGCGGGACCAAAGAGCCAGAGCTCAACCCCCGCAAGCACAAATAGGTGAGTACAATTAGGTGAGTACACACACACACACACATAAACCCAAGACTCAGAAGAAATATATATCAAGATCGAATTCTCCTTGATCAACAAGACCCAAACGGTTAACCTCAAGACCCTCCAAGACTCTATACAACCTCAGAAAATACAATTTCAACACAACATATCCGACGCTAATACGATGGTCGTCTACGGACATATAACGTCGTATGATTTCACCCAAACACCCTTATCCATTCAGCAGATAATCAGCGATAAGTTTAACCCAATGCACAACGGACACGCATCGATCCCAGACCATCGACGAGGTGGAAGAGTCCCACCAGTGTCAACACAGTCATCCAATCATTAACAATAACTCAACACAGTGTTCGAAGCTGGACTCCTCTCGCAGCACTGCAACTCAACAACTTCTACAGAGAAATAGACAAGGATATAATATCCTTCCGTGTCCCAGAACCTTGGGACACGGAACACTGGGACACGGAACACTGGGACACGGAACACTGGGACACGGAACACTGGGACACGGAACACTGGGACACGGAACACTGGGGCACGGAACACTGGGACACGGAACACTGGGACACGGAACACTGGGACACGGAACACTGGGACACGGAACACTGGGACACGGAACACTGGGACACGGAACACTGGGACACGGAACACTGGGGCACGGAACACTGGGACACGGAACACTGGGACACGGAACACTGGGACACGGAACACTGGGACACGGAACTCAGGGACACGGAACACTGGGTCACGGAACACTGGGACACGGAACACTGGGTCACGGAACACTGGGACACGGAATACTGGGACACGGAACACTATGACACGGAACACTGGGACACGGAACACTGGGACACGGAACACTGGGACACAGAACACTGGGACACGGAACACTGGGACACAGAACACTGGGACACGGAACACTGGGACAAAACACAGCAGTGCTAGGGGAACTATATTAAAGATGTCACCTGTAGTTTTCCATACAGAGTCCCGCCTTAAGGTTGCCCTTTTAAAGAATATATTCTGGGTACTCCTTTATTGTACGTTGAGGGAAGGAAGGAGTGATTTGTTGACCAGACCACACACTAGAAAGTGAAGGGACGACGATGTTTCGGTCCGTCCTGGACCATTCTCAAGTCGATCGACTTGAGAATGGTCCAGGACGGACCGAAACGTCGTCGTCCCTTCACTTTCTAGTGTGTGGTCTTGTCAACATACTTCAGCCACGTTATTGTGACTCATCGCCTGCACAAGGAGTGGTTTGGTTAGGTTAGGTGAGGCGCTACTAGTTTGTTAAGTTAGGTTAGGTTAGGTTAGGTGAGGCGCTACTAGTTTGTTAGGTTAGGTTAGGTTAGGTTAGGTTAGGTTAGGTTAGGTGAGGCGCTACTAGTTTGTTAGGTTAGGTTAGGTTAGGTTAGGTTAGGTTAGGTTAGGTGAGGCGCTACTAGTTTGTTAAGTTAGGTTAGGTTAGGTTAGGTTAGGTTAGGTTAGGTTAGGTTAGGTGAGGCGCTACTAGTTTGTTAGGTTAGGTTAGGTTAGGTTAGGTGAGGCGCTACTAGTTTGTTAGGTTAGGTTAGGTTAGGTTAGGTTAGGTTAGGTTAGGTTAGGTTAGGTGAGGCGCTACTAGTTTGTTAAGTTAGGTTAGGTTAGGTTAGGTTAGGTTAGGTTAGGTTAGGTGAGGCGCTACTAGTTTGTTAGGTTAGGTTAGGTTAGGTTAGGTTAGGTTAGGTGAGGCGCTACTAGTTTGTTAGGTTAGGTTAGGTTAGGTTAGGTTAGGTTAGGTTAGGTTAGGTTAGGTTAGGTTAGGTGAGGCGCTACTAGTTTGTTAAGGAGTTTGGTCAGACAGAACGATGTGGTTTGTGAGGAGTCAACACTGACCTTAGGTCAGGTCACTGGAGAAGCACCCTCACCCCCACCTCACCCCCCCCCCCCACCCCTCTACTCCAAGGCTCTATCTTGTTTGTTAATTCATTTAAAGTAGAGAAATTTCTGATAATAAAAGTAATTGTAGTTAATAACTTATTTTGTTAAGTACTTAAGTTAATTAACTTCATTTGAGAATAAAGAGTCAGTCCCTTAAGTTGACAAAGAGGCAGTTGACTCATTTGCCCGAAACGTTTTTGCCCGATGTTGCCCTAAACGCTATGCGTGTTTGTGGCTTTAGGTATTGTATGTACTACCTCTATCTATAAACCCAACTTTATGTTTGTAAATCAACTATGTATGTACTTTTCCTGAATAAAGAATTTGAATTTGAATTTGGAATATAAGAACTAGTTCTAAGAAACTCATGTTCAACCTCGAATCAGTAGCAGTCTCCGCGGGTGTAAGAAGTGCTACTCAACACTTCGTTAATTCACTAATGCGGAGAAATTCAAGTATTATTTAGATTTTATAATAGATAATCAACCTTGCTCAAGTACCAATGTAATCTAACATCATTTGGAATAATGATTAAGTCACCATTAGTGTCCAGCACAGATGAATCAAGCCTTGTTAATTATCTATGGAAATTAGTTTGACAACTACTGGAGCCGGTCGGCCGAGCGGACAGCACACTGGACTTGTGATCCTGTGGTCCCGGGTTCGATCCCAGGCGCCGGCGAGAAACAATGGGCAGAGTTTCTTTCACCCTATGCCCCTGTTACCTAGCAGTAAAATATGTACCTGGGTGTTAGTCAGCTGTCACGGGCTGCTTCCTGGGGGTGGAGGCCTGGTCGAGGACCGGGCCGCGGGGACACTAAAGCCCCGAAATCATCTCAAGATAACTAGCCAAGGTCGGCTTCCCAGTTTGTGAGGGCAGAGTTTGTTTATTTTTACTTTAGCCAAGTTGATATTTTTTGTGTTTATTTTTGTGTATACTATTTCTGATGCCAGGTGCACTTAATTATAATCTGCGTTCAAATATTACTTCCACGGCTGTGACAATGCCTACCACTGTTGAAACCCCTTCAGAATCAATGGGAACAGTTGCTCGTCCCAATGGCCAGAGATCAGCTCAGGAAATGGCTATTCCTCTTTTTGCTGGGGAATCGCGTTTATTAGAATCATGGTTTAGTAAGGTTGAAGCGAAAACAGTTGCACGTTTTTCTAAGCCTACTGATGCCGAATACTTAGCAATTGCACGGTCAGCCGTGGACACAACCAAAGGTGATGCACGTTTTGTTGTTGATGAGAAAGCCATTGTTAGCCTCCAGTCTTGGCCTGAATTTAAGGATTTCTTTCGCCGTCGCTTTGTTAATAAAGGAGACCTTGACCCATATAGGTTAGTCAAGAAAATTGCCAATGCCACCATGCAGCCTGGTGAATCGTTTAATGCGTTTACTAGCCGTCTCGATCAGTATCTGTATGCCTTAGTTTCTGCTATGAATAATTCAACTTGGTTAGATAAAGACAATAATCTGTCCCCTGAGGCTATGGCCAAAATGATAGCATTTGGTACTTTAATGCATTTTGCCCCCGAGCATACAAAACCAATCGTTGAGCAACAAAATTTTGGTGTTAAACATGAAATTGGTGAAGTATTTGAGGCTATTAACAATGCCGCAGATAAACTAGCTCCCCGAAGTGCTCAACTGTTGCCACCCTCTGATGCTGTAAATGTAGTTACAAGTTCTCAGCATCCTCCCACAAATTCTCAAAACTCTTGGTCGCAGAAGCATACCCATGCTCATAGCCCCCAGTCAAATTCGCCGCCTCATAAAATGCCGAAACGCCATAGTCCCCAACCATCCACTCCCTCATGTTGGCATTGTGGTAAGAGTAACCACCTTGCAAGGGACTGTTGGTCCGCCCCTAGATCATCACCTCCTAGACAATTCTCTCGGCCCCCTCATCAATCTAATCATTCTAGGCTTCCATATTGCACGTACCATAAACAAGTTGGTCAC